TGGTCTAAGAAAGGTTGGAGGGAGGGGGTAAAGGAGGTTCTGTGTGCGAGGGGCTTGGACTTCCATCAAGCGTGCATGAGCATGTTAGACAGGAACGAATGGAGACAAGTGGTTTTTAGGACCTGACGTGCTGTTGGAGTGTAAGCAAAGTAACATTTATGAAGGGATTCAGGGAAACCAGCAGGCCGGACTTGAGTCCTGGAGATGGGAAATACAGTGTCTGCACTCTGAAGGATGGGTGTTAATGTTGCAGTTTGAAAACTGTAATGTAAGAACCCCATCTGTCAAGACAGTGATAGAGTGAATGATGAAAGTTTTTCTTTTTCAGGCCACCCTGCCCTGGTGGGAAATGGCCGATGTGTTAATAAAAATAAAAAATAAAATAATACTCTGCTCTTCTTATAACACTTCTGCTTTGTAAAAACCTCTCATAAGCTACCTTTTCCTCAATCATCACACCCTTTACTTCATCATTCCACCAATCACTCCTCTTTCCTCCTTCACCCACCCTCCTATAGCCACAAATTTAGGCCTCACATTCTAATATTACATTTTTAAAACTATTCCAACCCTCTTCAACCCCCCCCCCCCTCCCCACTACTCATACTTGCACTACGCTCCCCATTTTCATTTACCCCTGGCACCCCAAATTTACCTGCTAATTCCTCCTCAACATTTTACCCACTTTAGCATTGAAATCCCCAACCACAAGTACTCTCACGCTTGGTTCAAACTCCCCACGCACTCGTTCAACAATTCCCAAAATCTCTCTTTCTCTTCTACACTTCTCTCTTCTCCAGGTGCATAAATGCTTACTATAACCTGCTTTTTACATCCAACCCTTATTTTATTCCACATAATCCTTGAATTTATACATTTATATTCCCTCTTTTTCTGCCATAACTTATCCTTCAACATTATTGCTATTCCTTCTTTAGCTGTAACTCTATGAAATTAAGACACGTGTGCAACATCTGGGTGTCTATTGTAGACGTTTCGCCATCCAGTGGTTTTATCAACAGAAATTCCAGGACATAACTTGAAGACAGTAGGACTATAATACAGAGGATGAGGTAATCAGTCCCTCAACCTTGGAGTAGGTGTGAAGAGCACCGTAGTCGTGGAGATTCTGAAACAGAAGCAAGGAGCCTGGCGCTTATATACTAACGTCAGGTGTAGCAGTCGAGGGCATAGTCACTGGTAGGCGGGATTCCCCAGTGGAAGTAGGTCCTTCCCAAAGAGATGGGTTAGTTGTAGTAGTAGTTGTCGTAGTCGTGAAGGTTATGTACATGTCCTCAGAATCAAGATTCCATGATGTTGCAGTGTCTGACAAGTTGTGCAAGAATGGTATATAATACCGACAAGATGAAATTAAGACACAACACAAATGGAATTTGTGTTGATAAAGCCACTGGATGGCGAAACGTCTACAATAAAGATACCCAAATGTTGCACATGTGTCTTAATTTCATCTTGTCAGTATTATATACCATTCTTGCACAGCTGTAACTCTATTTGAAACCCCTGACCTAATCCCATTTATTTCTCCCCACTGAAACTCTCCCACCCCCTTCAGCTTTGTTTCACTTAGCCAGAACATCCAGCTTCTTCTCATTCATAACATCCACAATCATCTCTTATCATTCACACAACATCCACTCACATTCAAATATCCCACTTTGACAGTATTCTTTTTTTTCTTTTTAGTAGGCTATACGGGGAAAAGGGGTTACTAGCCCATTGTTCCCGGCATTTTAGTTGACTTTTACAACACGCATGGCTTTCAGAGGAAAGATTCTTATTCCACTTCCCCATGGATATGAAAGGAAAATCAATAAGAATAAGAATTTCTTCTTCTTTCAACAAACCGGCCATATCCCACCAAGGCAGGGTGGCCCAAAAAGAAAATCAAAAGTTTCTTTTTTAAAATTTAGTAATTTATACAGGAGAAGGAGTTACTAGCCCCTTGCTCCCGGCATTTTAGTCGCCTCTTACAACATGCATGGCTTACGGAGGAAGAATTCTGTTCCACTTCCCCATGGAGGTAAGAGGAAATAAACAAGAACAAGAACTAGAAAGAAAATAGTAGAAAACCCAGAGGGGTGTGTGTATATATATATGCATGTACATGTATGTGTTGTGTGACTTAAGTGCAAGTAGAAGTAGCAAGACATACCTGAAATCTTGCATGTTTTTGAGACAGAAAAAAGACACCAGCAATCCTTTCATAATGTAAAACAAATACAGGCTTCCATTTTACACTCAGTTGGTAGGATGGTAATACCTCCCCGAATGGTTGCTTTTATGAAAAAAATGTGGAGGAGAAAATTTTCATGTCAAAAATACATATTAAAATGGAACATACTGAAAGTTAACAATCTGTGAAGGATTTATAAAGTATATAGGGGTAAAAGAGGTTTTGTATTAAAGGGACTTGAACATACAGCAGGCATGAATGAGCATGTTAGATAGGAGTGGAGACAAATGATTTTTGGGACTTGATGAGCTGTTGGGGTGTGAGCAGGGTAATATTTTGTGAAGGGATTCAGGGAATCCTGTTACCCAGACTTGAGTCCTGGAGGTGGGAAGTACAATGCCTTCACTCTGAAGGAGGGGTTTGGGATTTTTGCTGTTTAGTGAGACATCTAAACTGTAGTATCTGTGTACCATTGGCAAGGCAGTGATAGTGTAAATGATGGTGAAAATGTTTCTATTTTGCGTTATCCTTCCTTGGTAGGAGGCGGCCAGCATTTTAAATAACAAGCGACACGTTTTTGAAATGTATAGAGTAGGTACAGTGGAACCCCGAGTTTCAGCTGTAATCCATTCCAGGAGCTATGGCTAAAGTCGAAGCAATATTTCCCATAAGAAATGATGTAAATCCAATTAATCCATTCCATCCAAAAATATTCACAAACATTCATTTTGTAAAGAATAAATACTATAGTTTTACATACAGAAAACAATGAGAAACAAATATAAAGCACTAGTTTTAATGGATAAATGAACATTTAAATCAGTTTTACCTATGTTGAAGACTCTTGTTGGCATATGAGAGAGGCAGGAGAGTTTGGAGGCAGGACAAGATAGTCCTTCAATATGATACTAATATCAACTTTGTGGCTTATTTATCTAGCACAATTCATCTAATATGACATAATAAACAATATTAATAACATAGAAACATGATATATACTATAGAATGAATAAAATATGTCATTTGTCTCTCTAACCGACGAGTGTTGCTGTGTTGTTTGTTATTGGGTGTATAAGGACCACTGAAAGATAAGCCTTACATAGTGGTGGTGAAGGCGGCAGCAGAGACGGCGGTGTTGTGAATCACCCCATATAACTCCAACAACAGTGGAGGAGTCAGTTTCGTGCTGCTCTTTTTCTATCGATTAATCGTTTAACTTACGTGCTACACTGTTAATGCTACACTTATCGCTGGCTGGCACTATAGCCCTTATCATTCATGCTGCTTTTGTAACATACATATTGTAGAATCACTGAAGAAGGCACATTCTCCCCTCTCTCTTCCTCCTCCATTTTGGTACGTTGCTGCAATTTCTTTCTTCAATCCTATCATATTACTCACTTTCTTTACCAAAGGGGTGCTACTATGAAGTTTCTTTGGGCCCATAGTGGCTTATTTCACGGTCACAATCAATAAACAAGCACTATACGCAATGAATTTATTGTGAAATGTTTGGATGAGCGCACAGGGTAATGTTCACTCAAGGATAAACAAAGCTAGACTGGCTCACGATGACTGTGCGGGCAGGCACACAGGCTTGGGCAGGCGGACAGGTCTGGTATTCTGGCCGAAACACAGGGCACAGGCTGAAACTCAGAACAAAATTTAGCCAAAAAAAGTGGTTGAAACTCAAAGCTGTCGATACTCAGGGTGGCTGAAACTCAGGGTTCCAATGTACAGTGTTAATGAAATCTGTGAAGGATTGTTATGAGGGAAGTGAGACTTGCACTCAAGTGTGTAGTGAAGAAACATTATTTCACTTCCTAAAATATTTTTATGCCGTCTGCTACACATTTTTTTTTAACACACCGGCCATATCCCATGGAGTCAGGGTGACCTAAAAATAAAAATGAAAGCTCTTTTTTTTTATTTAGTAATTTATACAGGAGAATGGGTTATGCTACAGATTTATTATACATAAAATATACCTATAATTAGAAAGTTAGATATGTTGTTGCAGTAATATAAATACGTAATATGGAACCTAAAATGCCTGTCCCTCTCTTTGTCATGGGCCCTTTGGGTTATTTGTATGATTATTTTCTGTTGTGTACATCCAGTAGAGTTTAGACTGTTAAATAAGTTATATTATTTTAGATGTTGAATAAGGTTGTGAAACATAGTAATGAGATGCTGATGATCACATTACAAGAGACTGTCACCTGGAGCACAGGTTCAAGAGCCAAAAGAAAGAATGAAGGATGCCACTGCCATCTAGTGGAGAGCAGTATAAAAGGGCAGTAATTGTAATGGGGTAGTTTTTTGGCACATTGATTAAAAGAATTGCCTTTGCAACAACTGTGTAAACAGCAGTTTTTCTCTATGGCAAATCACTGACACCATTACTACTAATAACTGTTTATTGGATAAATGTTGTATAATGTTGCAGAACAGTCATCATCACTATGGTGACAGTATTTTAACACATTACATAAAAGGTTGCCCATGTGACAACTATTTATTGGGAATGTGCATTATTATAGTGGATCACAGGTGCCATTTCAGGTGACATTTGTTCATGGGGAAAGTATTTTATGTAACATTATGGAACTCATACTGGTCATACATTCCTTCATACTGGTCATTGCTGGATTATAGATGATTGCTTGCAAATGTAACATTGAATCATAGATATACTCTGCATGGAAGGAGAATCATCAGTATTATAATATTATCTGGGCTTCTTGCATCACACATTTTCATTTTGTTTTGACTGTTGATTCCTGATGATTTTTATTTTCAGTCTTATTACTCAGATGTTTTCAAGTGGGCAACAAGGAAGAACATCTATTACCCCCTTAGACATACAAGACAGTGGAGTTGATTGTGATATTTCATCAGTGGAGCTGTCAAAGGGAATGACCAGCCATAAGGGTACAGCAAGTAGCAGTAGCAGCTGGTCATTTGTGCCTCTAGAATTGCTAATCACTGGAGGAAAAATTACTGCCAGTATTTTTGACCGAGGAATCTTAGAAGATGGACAGAAGTTTAGTGTGAAGGTGAGAAATATTGAAGAGTAATTATTTTGAAGAAAAGACAAAAGTTCAAAACAAGCCTCTGTTAAGTGTTCTCACAATAAAGTGCTTGATCAAGTTAGTGGTCTGATAAAGGTGTACACAGTGAAGTATTGTTACAATCAAAGTTTGCTCTGCACCTGTGTCTCTTCTTCATTTCTGTCAGTGGTACACTTTTGTACCCAGTGCCATAATTATTTTATTTGTGAAATATCACTTACATAATTTAAATTTATGACAAAAATTAAACTGTAAGCAGAAATAGGATGGTATTTTGCTGAATTATTGGATGGCCATCATACTCTCTCTCAATCTGTCAGAAAAAATTAATTTTCAAAATGTTGCCACACATGGGAATTTTTATTTCAAGGCCGCCACAGACTGAGAGTTAGAAGTCAGTTGGAGGAGAGCGGGTAAGAGGTTTTTGTGTGCAAGGGGCTTGGACATACAGCAGGCATGTGTGAGTATGTTAGATAGTGAAAGGAGACAAATGGCTTTTGGGACTTGATGAGCTGTTGGAGTGTGAGCATGGTAATATTTTGTGAAAGGATTCAGGGGAACTGGTTTGCCAGACTTGAGCCCTGGAGGTGCGAAGTACAATGCCTGCATTTTAAGGGAGGGGTTTCGGATATTGGCTGTTTGGAGTGACATCTGAACTGTCATATTTGGATGCTTCTGGCAAGACGGTGATAATGTGAAGTGAAAGTGTTTCTCTTTTTTGGGTTACCCTGCCTCAGTGAGAGACAGCCAGCATGTTAAAAAAAAAAATTATACCAGTTGTGTAGCACTGAAAATCCTATACCAAATATCCTCCTTAGAGAATTCAACCTTCCCAATGTAAAATGGAAGATTATAGACACCAACATTGTCCCAGAAATTATACCAAGAAAAACATAAACTCACCAGAATCATTCCAAAGAACTCTTCAGTCTCTGCAAAATGGATACATGGACCAACAGATAACAGAATCTACTAGAAATGAAAATATACTAGATATGATCATCACATACAATGAGGGACTTCTCAGGGACGTATCAGTAATAAGCTCCAAAACAATACAGTGGAACCTCAGTTGTCAAATGGACTAGTTGTCAAACAAATGGGTTTTCGAACTGATTTGATGAATTTGGTCTTTGTATGTGGTCTTGGTTGTCGACCGACAATGCTCGGATCACATGATCACCAGAGTCCACAGCGTGGGTCTCAGTCAGTATAGCAACTACCTTGTGTGCTGTAAACATCTCTTGAACTCTTGCTGTGCATCTTGTGAAGGTAATAAAAACAAAAATATGAAATTTGATGGGAAACTCACGGAATTACGCTATCAGGAAGTTAGGAGTTTTGGCGATATTTATGCATCAGTGATTTCGCTCACTTTGAGTTCTATTATGGGGCAATTCTATTGTTCCAGTCGACTAAACTCATAGCTATTTTGCTAGAACTCCTCCTTTTCTATTGATTGAGTACAAGATATTGCCCATGTACCTATTTCAACTACCCAATAAAGTGATCTGAAATTATTAATTTGGCCAGTGTCACACAAGATTCAAGAAATGCCAGTTTCAATAAAGGGTCCAGCATAAAAAATGCAGACATTCCTGGCACTAAAATAACATTTTATCTCTTCATTAGTCATGTCTCCAGGACCCTCTTATATTATGCTTGCTTTTCATTTTGAATTTTTATTCACACAATAAATAGAAGATTTACTGTTATTCAGACTAATGCATAATCATAATAATTGTATAAATAATATCAGTACATTTGTGAATGCATATTAAACCCACCATTTGACATGTATTGGACACGTGATGTGATTTGTTTACTCTTGAACATCTTCAAAAATCAAATATTTCTGCTACTTTGAGCTCAACTTCATGGTACTTTTAGTCCATAAACCATTCAAAATCATCTCTGTTTCTGTAATATATCTTCCATTCTATCAAATGAGACCAAGAAAACGAGAATACAACCACAAATTCCATATGAAAATACACCGCAAAGTCGCTGTTTTAAACCAAAAACATGGTCGGAGTTTTTTTTCTCTCATGTACTGCGTGCTGCAGTTTTTTTTATTCTGCGCACACTGACCACTCAGACTCGTTCTCTCATATGTAGACCTACCAGCTTTCTCCCGCAAGGTTGGAAGCCGCTAGAATTTTGGTGTGGTATTGTGGGACCGACACTGGCTTGCAAGCCGTAATATTGCAGAACTGACAGTGCAAGGGTTAATTAATAATAAATATCACAGCAAAGGAAAGAAAATATAGTTTTGCAACATTGGCCATTTCCTGAGGTAGTGATGCAAGAGAAGAAACACTTTAACCATAATTCACTCCACTATCTTGCCAGAGGCATACTAGTACTGCAGTTCTGATGCCGCTCCAGTCATTTAAAGATATGAAACAGGAACTAAAATATTTATATCAAACAGAAGAAGCACAAAGGAACAAAAACAGTTAAAAAATTTGAATTTTCCAAAATACTCTAGTGCACTTGCATAATGCAAGTCAGAAACCTTTGACCTTTTACTCAGAATAGATTTATGTATAGCTGACAACTAAAAAATTAAGGAAATCTTGATTATGCTTCGAGCTTCCCTGAAGCCGTTCCCTTAAAAACCATAACTACTGCAGAGGTGGCTGAAGCCCTTTTGTCCATCTTCTCCAGAGTGGGCATCCCTAGAGAAATTTTGTCTGACCGTGGGACACAATTCATATCTGACTTAATGCAACATCTATACCAACTTCTGGGAGTGAAGCCTCTCTTCACCATACCCTATCATCCCAGCTGTAATGGGAGGATTGAGCGCCAGCATTCGATTCTAAAGTCAATTTTAAGGAAACTTTGCTCCCTTAAACCTAAGGAGAGGCATCATTATCTACCCTGTGCTTTGTTTGCCATGAGGGAAGTTCCCAGTGACTCTTTGGGGTTTTCACCTTTGAACTTCTCTATGGTAGACAGGCCAGAGGTCCACTGTCCATCCTTCATGATTTTTGGACTAATGAGGAGGTAAATGCTGAGGTTCATCTTTTTTACCAGTTTCTCCTTGACCTTAGATCCAAACTTGAGGAGACCTCTGACATAGTTTCGAAAAACTTAAGTTTGTCAATGGACCAGTACAAAACCTATTTTGATTCCAAAAGTCAGAGGAGAAGTTTTAAAGTAGGGATGAAGTTCTTGTTGCTTTTGCCTATCAAGTCAAATAAATTATTAGTAGAGGGAAAGGTCCAATAAGTATTTAAAAATTTGTGGGAAAGTTGACTACCTCATAGAAGTCAAGGGGAAACCCCTAAGCTTTATCATATCAACTCCTTAAGAAATATTACCGAAGAAATTCGTTAACTCCCTTTAATAACTTTGACTTAGTTTTTTCCACACGAACTTGATAAGACAACTGAAGAATGTGGGGTGTGCGAAATTTGACACCTCTAACTTAGACTATGATGAAGAACTACATGACTTGGTGACTCTTGACACTCGGGCGCACCAACATTAATTTTAAATTGAATTTTTGGATGAACATAAGAGACATGAACTACTTCAATGTGTGAGTAACTTTTTCAGACGTCTTACTGATATTCCAGGTGTTACCTCCACGGTAGCCCCATAAGATTGACTTAGTGACGGACAATCCTATCAACGAAAATTATACCCAGTTCCAGTTCACCTTAGGGATGCATTTTACCAAGAGGTAGACAAATTATTAAAACTAAAGATCATTGAACCTTCAGTATCTTCATATTGTTCACCAGTAGTCATGTTAAGAGGAAAGGGTAATTCATATAGACTTGCTATTGACTTCAGAGGCCTTAATGCTATAACTCGGTGGGATGCTGAGCCTATGCCCTTAATAGATAGCGATCTACACAAATTTTATGACGCTCCTTCTTTTCAGAGATTGATATTGCGGCAGGGAATCATCAAGTAATGTTAGATCCTTCTTCTAAGCAGTACACCGCTTTTCCTACACACCAAGGACTGATGCAGTATAGAACTATGCCCTTCGGTTTGGTAACTGCCTGTGCTACCTATGTGAGACTGATGAGAAAGGTCTTGGGTAACATGCCAAATGTTTCAGTTTATTTTGATTTAAAATTTACGTAATGACATCCACGTGGGGCGAACATATCCAAACATTAACATCAGTTTTGCGTAAGTTACACTCACATAGCCTCACTGCCAAGCCGAAGAAATGCTTCCTTGGGTATAACAAGATTAGATATCTTTGGGCTGATTTCTTTCTAATAACTCTCTCAGCCTTTCCCCAGTAAGATCAAAGCTTTATTAGAATTTAAATTCCCCAAAAACCCAAGAAGCTCATGGGTAGCTTTCTTGGTTCTGTAAATTTTTATGCACGGTTTATCCGAACCTTTCTGATCTTACAGGCATCTTATCCAACTTCCTTAAAAAGTCTGTGAAGGAACCTCTTGAACTTTCCGACGTAGCTCGGGAAAAGTTTAATGAGATTAAAAGTATTTTTTTGAAAGACCCTATACTTAAGATTCCAGATATTAATTTAAAAAATTTTGTTTAAGAAATGATGCCTCCAATACTGGCTTAGGTGCGGTGCTACTACAATACCATGATGGTACTCCCTTCCCTGTATGCTTCCTAAGCCGGAAACTCCTTCCCGCAGAAACAAGATACTCCACCATAGAAAAGGAATGTTTGGCCCTTGTGTGGGGTATCTCCAAACTTAAATTTTATTTGCTGGGAAAAGAATTCATTTTAGAAAAGGACCACAAACCCTTTTATATACCTAGAAATTTTTAAGGGAACCAAAAGTCACCTCTTGAGGTGGGACATTGGCAACTCCAGGCTTTTAAGTTCCATATTGTGTATATCAGTGGTTCATCCAATTATTTCTCTGACTGGTTAAGTCGTGACAGTCAGTAGAAGATTTCTTGCCTTACGCGACTTCCATGTGTTAGAACTTTTTCTTCGCCTATTCTTCTTATACTCCTTGACTATAAGTCTTGGTATGGGGGAGTGTGAGGGAAAAGTTCAATAGATAGGAGTAGCGAGGGAGTATATAGTAACAATAGTTTCATTGCCGGCTACTTGTTAAGGTAGGGTAAGTCAAGCTCCCGCTATTCCCGCCTTTTTTCCCCCTCCCCGAGAGTGATAGTTTCATTGCCGGCTACTTGTTAAGGTAGGGTAAGTCAAGCTCCCGCTATTCCCGCCTTTTTTTCCCCCACCCGAAAGTGATAGTTTGACTGCCGGCTGCTTGTTAAGGTAGGGTCAGTCTAGCTCCCGCTATCCCTTCCCCTCCCCCCCCCCGAAAGGTGACGTGTGGGGCTCCGGTCCAAACAGTAATCACTAGACTCACAGCTCCCAGCACTACTGTAAGTACATGCCTGCCTTGTATTCTAGTAGATTTATTGGTTGAAAGCTTCACTTTTGACCAATAATAAACTTAGTCCTTTCAGTCTTGCTCTAGGTTGACTGTTCTAATAATCACCACACTTTTAGGTATTGTACTTATCATGGAGAGTGATTTCTTAAGCAGTGGGTAACCTGTCTATCTTTCCAGCTTGGATGACAGAGAGGGTCACCTGCCAATCAACGAGAAGAACTGATGGAGATGGACTAACGTCCTGAGACTTCCCCTTTTTGGATTTAATTACCTGTGCACCTGTGTGAAATTGCAGGACGTAACCCCTAATCATTGCAGTGGTAAAGAACCTGCTTTCCTGTCATCGGGATATAATACTCACGGCTATACTGTGAAGAACGAACCGGTGGGTTGTAACCAACACCTGCGACCCCCCCTCCATCATCAGCAATGGCTACGATTTCAACAACACAGTGTCACCAACACCAGACACCCAATTTTTAAATTAGCGTTGAATTCAGTTATCATTTATATTTTTCATTTTTCATTTTCTTTAATGTAGGATTAATATTTCATATTTAAGTGTTTTATATTTTATATTTTCTATATAATAAAGTGTTTATGTTTGTCAGTTTTTATTCTTTTTCTTTGCCTGGTCACAGACCGGGCCGTGGGGGCGTTGACCCCCGGAACTCTCTCTAGGTAAACTCTCCAGGTAAACATTAATTTTCCTGAGGAGGAGCCAGCCTTGGTAATACTGTCTGAAGTTGTTACAGGGCTGAGTAAGCCTTCACACTTGTGGTTGGGGATTTCAATGCTAAAGTGGGTAAAAATGTTGTGGAGGGAGTAGTAGGTAAATTTGGGATGCCAGAGGTAAATGAAAATGGGGAGCTTTTAATTGAGCTATATGTAGAAAGAGGTTTGGTAATAAGTAATACATATTTTATGAAAGAGAAGATAAATAAATAAACAAGGTATGATATAGCACATAATGAAAGTAGCTTGTTAGATTATGTATTAGTGGATACAAGGTTGATGGGTAGGCTTCAGGATGTACATGTTTATAGAGGGGCAACTGATATATCAGATCATTATTTAGTTGTAGCTACAGTTAGAGTAAGAGGTAGATGGGACAAAAGGAAAATGGCAACAACCAGTAAGAGAGAGGTGAAAGTGTATAAACTAAGGGAGGAAAAAGTTCGGGTGAGATATAAGCAACTATTGGCAGAAAGGTGGGCTGGTGCAAGTATGTCTACTAGGGGGGTTGAAGAGGGTTGGAATAGTTTTAAAAATGCAGTATTAGAATGTGGGGCAGAAGTTTGTGGTTATAGGAGGGTGGGTGCAGGAGGAAAGAGGAGTGATTGGTGGAATGATGAAGTAAAGGGTGTGATAAAAGAGAAAAAGGTAGCTTATGAGAGGTTTTTACAAAGCAGAAGTGTTATAAGATGAGCAGAGTATATGGAGAATAAAAGAAAGGTGAAGAGAGTGGTATGAGAGTGTAAAAGGAGAGCAGATGATAGAGTGGGAGAGGCACTGTCAAGAAATTTTGATGAAAATAGGAAAAAATTTTGGAGTGAGATAAACAAGTTAAAAAAGCCTAGGGAAAGAATGAATTTGTCAGTTAAAAACAGAGTAGGGGAGTTAGTAGATGGGGAGATGAAGGTATTAAGTAGATGGCGGGAATATTTTGAGGAACTTTTAAATGTTGAAGAAGAAAGGGAGGCGGTAATTTCATGCACTGGCCAGGGAGGTATACAGTGGACCCTCGACCAGCGATGCCATCGATTAACGATAAATCTGACTAGCGATACATTTTATCGCAAAAATTTTGCCTCGATTAGCGCTAAAAAACTCGACCAACACTATTCGTTCCATCTGAGATGCGTCCACTTCTGGCCAGTGTTTACAAGCCTGCCAGCCACTGCGGTCGCTTCAAAGCATACAATCGGAACATTTCATATTATCACAGCCTTTTTAGTGATTGCAAACCCGCAAAATAAGTTACCATGGGCCCCCAAAAAAGCTTCTAGTGCCAACCCTACAGCAAAAAGGGTGAGAATTACTATGGATATGGAAAAAAGAGATCATTGCTAAGTATGAAAGTGGAGTGCGTGTCTCCGAGCTGGCCAGGCTGTACACAAAACCCCATTCAACCATCGCTACTATTGTGGCCAAGAAAACGGCAATCAAGGAAGCTGTTCTTGCCAAAGGTGCAACTATGTTTTCGAAACTGAGATCGCAAGTGATAGAAGATGTTGAGAGACTGTTATTGGTATGGATAAACGAAAAACAGATAGCAGGAGATAGCATCTCTCAAGCGATCATATGTGAAAAGGCTAGAAGTTGCATGACGATTTAATTAGAAAAATGCCAGCAACTAGTGGTGATGTGAGTGAATTTAAGGCCAGCTAAGGTTGGTTTGAGAGATTTAAGAATCGTAGTGGCATACATAGTGTGATAAGGCATGGTGAGGCTGCCAGTTTGGACCAAAAAGCAGCTGAAAAATATGTGCAGGAATTCAAGGAGTACATAGACATTGAAGGACTGAAACCTGAACAAGTGTTTAATGGTGACACTGACAATGTTGTGAACCACTTTAGGAAAGTCATAAAGGAACGAGAGGCACAGGTAACTATGGACAGATATGTTGTGCGACAGAAGTCCAGTGACTCTGAAGCTGGTCCTAGTGGCATTAAAAGAACAAGGGAAGTAACCCCAGAAAAAGACTTGCTGCCTCAAGTGCTAATGGAAGGGGATTCCCCTTCTAAACACTAACACCTCTCCCCTCCTCCCATCCCATCAATCATCACCAGATCTTCAATAAAGGTAAGTGTCATGTAACTGTGCATGTAATCTTCAGTTTGTGTGTATTAAAATTAATATTTCATGTGGTAAAAAATTTTTTTTTTTCAATACTTTTGGGTGTCTTGCACGGATTAATTTGATTTCCATTATTTCTTATGGGGAAAATTAACTTGACTGACGATAATTTTGACTAACGATGAGCTCTCAGGAACGGATTAATATCGCTGGTTGAGGGTCCACTGTACCATCTTTTAGGAGTGAAGAAGAGCAGGATGAGTGTGGGGGAGGTGCATGAGGCATTACGTAGAATGAAAGGGGGTAAAGCAGCTGGAACTGATGGGATCATGACAGAAATATTAAAAGCAGGGGGAGATATAGTGTTGGAGTGTTTTTTTTTTTTTTTTTTTTTTTATAAACAAGTCGGCCATCTCTCACTGAAGCAGGGTGACCGTTTTAGTTGATAAAGACACAAACTATAACTGGTAACTTTATTAAGACTGCCTTTTGCCTGATTGTTTTGATGGAGACTGCTCTTGGCTTGATAAAAACTGCTCTTGACTAGATGAAGACTACTCTTGGCTTGATGAAGTCATGAGCAGTCTTAATAAAGTTTCCAAAGTGCTGCTTGTAGGTCTTAATTAATTACAACACTAATTTTTTACCATTGATTGACGCTGTGTAAATAAAATAAATCTTTGTGCACATTTATCAAGAGTTCTTGTTTTCCAGGGTTGGCAGCGTAGCAAGTTAGAACAGCGAGCCAAAAAAAGGGAAAGGGAATTAGTTGGGGAAGCTGCATCAACAGAGTCTGAACCATCACCAAAGAGACTGCCACACCATCGTCAACGACCTCCAGCCAGAGAGGCTGACTCAGACTCTCAGTCAGAAAAGGAGGTTGAAGATGGGTTAGTAAGAAATCTTTTACTGGCACCAGCTAGCTAGAATAACATTTGGCACATAACCTGTACATAAGAGACTACAACCTGTTCATAAATTTCAGTCCCCGGTGTGTGTGTTATTTATGTATTGTTCCAGTCATGGTATTGTGACCTTTTATTCTTTTTAGAATAACATTTGAATGGATTACACCCATGAACCATCTCTAAATATTCTGTGCTGTTGCAGTTATTTCATACATAACTCAACATTGTTTTGGAAATGTATATTACAGGTATGAAGGCTCAGAAGAGGGTTCTGTCTGTGAAGGCGGAGGTGTCAATCTCCGGCAGCCACGAATTTTTCCTTTATTGTTTACCGTGGTTTCACAGCCTCATGCTTTCTTATCCTGTCAGCCACTTAAGCAAAAACTGGATATCTCATGCTTCAACTTCATCCTTCGTAGTGTTCTTAAGGGTTTCTCCGTTAAGGGTATGTTATAAGAATTATAATTCTTCATGCTAAATTATTAACTAAACCAATTACTGTATTTCATATAAAAATTAGGTGTCATTTTTAAGAGTCAAAGTCACAGATTGATATAAAATGTCTAATTTCAGAAATATTACACTGAACTTTAATTGCTACAATTTGTTTGAGAGTTTTGCCATCATTCACTTTTAGAAAATCAGTTGTTCTGTATTGTGATACTGCCCAGTAATATTTGTATTACCCTGTTTAATATATTGCTCAAATTACTTATTTTCCTCTCTACAGTGATTATATGTTTTGCAGTGTAGAAGAGCTGTGTTATATATTATAAAATGATGTTTACAGCTATGTGCCTCACAAATTGAAGATAATTTAAGTGACTTGGTAATAGTCCAAGACAGATCAATATGTTGTCTGAAGATGTATTTCTAATTAGTGTGTTACTTGTGAATTGTTCCAGCAGTGTTACTGTAACTTTTGCTTTTCTTGACTGATGTTGTTATACACGATGATCCTAGGAATGTAATTTGTTATTAATGTTATCATTACAGCCACTGAGGCCAAGCAGCTGCCTTGCCCGGAAGATTATACTACTTCTTGGTTAGAGACAAAACCTGGCGACCCACATCACAAGACTGGCATTCCTCCAGCATTATTGCTTATATCAGCAACTGATTTTCTTCATAAACCAGGTGAGACTGAGCACCCGTACCTGAAACATACACGTTGAATGCACGTTAAGATGTACTGCCGACAGGTATGGGTTTTTTTTTTTAAACTCTACTACTGTCTCCCATCAAGGTAGGGTGACCCAGAAGTGTTCTGACATTACACATCAAATGACTCTCCAAACTGCTACGTCTCCATCCCTCCTTACGAGTGTAGGCACTGTTGTACTTCCTACCACCAGGACTCAAGTCCAGCTAGCCAATTTCCCTGAAACCCTTTGCAAGTGTTACCTTGCTCACATTCCAGTGGCATCTCAGTAAAAAACAGCTTTCCTCTATTCATTCTAATCTGTTGTGCTCACACAAACCTATTGAATGCTCATGCAGTACTCCCTCCCTCCCTCCAGCTATTCCTGGGACAACCCATAACACACCTTCCCTCCACTCTAGATTTATATACAAGCACTCCCACTTAACAACTGAGTTTTTTTTTTTTTTTCAACAAGTCGGCCGTCTCCCACCGAGGCAGGGTGACCCAAAAAAGAAAGAAAATCCCCAAAAAGAAAATACTTTCATCATCATTCAACACTTTCACCACATTCACACATTATCACTGTTTTTGCAGAGGTGCTCAGAATACAACAGTTTAGAAGCATATACGTATAAAGATACACAACATATCCCTCCAAACTGCCAATATCCCAAACCCCTCCTTTAAAGTGCAGGCATTGTACTTCCCATTTCCAGGACTCAAGTCCGACTATATGAAAATAAACCGGTTTCCCTGAATCCCTTCACTAAATATTACCCTGCTCACACTCCAACAGGTTGTCAGGTCCCAAGTACCATTAGTCTCCATTCACTCCTATCTAACATGCTCACGCACGCTTGCAGGAAGTCCAAGCCCCTTGCCCACAAAACCTCCTTTACCCCCTCTCTCCAACCCTTTCGAGGATGACCCCTACCCCACCTTCCTTCCCCTATAGATTTATATGCTTTCTATGTCATTCTACTTTGATCCATTCTCTCTAAATGACCAAACCACCTCAACAACCCCTCTTCTGCCCTCTGACTAATACTTTTATTAACTCCACATCTTTTCCTAATTTCCACACTCCGAATTTTCTGCATAATATTTACACCACACATTGCCCTTAAACAGGACATCTCCACTGCCTCCAACCATCTTCTCGCTGCTGCATTTACCACCCAAGCTTCACACCCATATAAGAGTGTTGGTACTACTATACTTTCATACATTCCCTTCTTTGCCTCCATAGATAACGTTTTTTGACGCCACATATACCTCTACGCACCACTCACCTTTTTTCCCTCATCAATTCTATGATTAACCTCATCCTTCAAAAATCCATCCGCTGACACGTCAACTCCCAAGTATCTGAAAACATTCACTTCTTCCATACTCCTCCCCAATTTGATATCCAGTTTTTCTTTATCTAAATCATTTGATACCCTCATCACCTTACTCTTTTCTGTGTTCACTTTCAACTTTCTACCTTTACACACGTTCCCAAACTCATCCACTAACCTTTGCAATTTTTCTTTAGAATCTCTCATAAGCACAGTATCATCAGCAAAAAGTAACTGTGTCAATTCCCATTTTGAATTTGATTCCCCAAAATTTAATCTCACCCCTCTCCCGAACACCCTAGCATTTACTTCCTTTACAACCCCATCTATAAATATATTAAACAACCATGGTGACATTACACATCCCTGTCTAAGACCTACTTTTACCGGGAAGTAGTCTCCCTCTCTTCTACAGACCCTAATCTGAGCCTCACTATCCTCATAAAAACTCTTTACAGCATTTAATAACTTACCACCTATTCCATATACTTGCAACATCTGCCACATTGCTCCTCTATCCACTCTATCATATGCCTTTTCTAAATCCATAAATGCAATAAAAACTTCCTTACCTTTATCTAAATACTGTTAACATGTATGCTTCAATGTAAACACTTGATCTACACATCCCCTACCCACTCTGAAACCTCCTTGCTCATCCGCAATCCAAATTCTGCCTTACCTCTAATTCTTTCAATTATAACCCTACCATACACTTTTCCTGGTATACTCAGTAAACTTATTCCTCTATAATTTTTACAGTCTCTTTTGTCCCCTTTCCCTTTATATAAAGGGACTATACATGCTCTCTGCCAATCCCTAGGTACCTTCCCCTCTTTCATACATATATTAAACAAAAGTACCAACCACTCCAACACTATATCCCCCCTGCTTTTAACATTTCTGTCATGATCCCATCAGTTCCAGCTGCTTTACCCTCTTTCATTCTACGTAATGCCTCACGTACCTCCCCCACACTTACATTCTGCTCTTCTTCACTCCTAAAAGATGGTATACCTCCCTGACCAGTGCATGAAATTACTGCCTCTCTTTCTTCCTTAACATTTAAAAGTTCCTCAAAATATTCTCGCCATCTACCTAATACCTCCATCTCCCCATCTACTAACTCTCCTACTCTGTTTTTAACTGACAAATCCATACTTTCCCTAGGCTTTCTTAACTTGTTTAACTCACTCCAAATTTTTTTCTTATTTTCATTAAAATTTCTTGACAGTGCCTCTCCCACTTTATCATCTGCTCTCCTTTTGCACTCTCTCACCACTCTCTACCTTTCTTTTACTCTCCATATACTCTGCTCTTCTTATAACACTTCTGCTTTGTAAAAACCTCTCATAAGCTACCATTTTCTCTTTTATCACACCCTTTACTTCATCATTCCACCAATCACTCCTCTTTCCTCCTGCCCCCACCCTCCTATAACAACAAACTTCTGCCCCACATTCTAATACTGCATTTTTAAAACTATTCCAACCCTCTTCAACCCCCCCACTACTCATCTTTGCACTAGCCCACCTTTCTGCCAATAGTCGCTTATATCTCACCCGAACTTCCTCCTCCCTTAGTTTATACACTTTCACCTCCCTCTTACTTGTTGTTGCCACCTTCCTCTTTTCCCATCTAGCTCTGTTCCTACAAATAGGTTGTTAAGCAAATTTGTGGATAAGTGAGGAACCGCCCCTCACCGATATTTCAAGCATTCTGTACTGGTAGTGGGTTTATGTCAGCCACCCTTTTGTTCTAATATAACAGCATTTACTTTCAAGAATACACCAGCTAACCTCTTTACAGTGAACTTCTTTTGTACTTCTTCTATTATTTTCACTTCTTCCTCTTCTAAGTGCAGTGGACCCCTGCATAACGATATTAATCCGTTCCTGAGAGCTCATTGTTATGCAAAATTATCGTTATGCAAATGAATTTTCCCCATAAGAAATAATGGAAATCAAATTAATCCATGCAAGACACCCCAAAGTATGAAAAAAAAAATTTTTACCACATGAAATATTAATTTTAATACACACAAACTGAAAAAGACATGGACAGTTACATGACACTTTCCTTTATTGAAGATCTGGTGATGATTGATGGGATGGGAGGAGGGGAGTGTGTTGATGGTCTTAGTGTTTAGAAGGGGAATCCCCTTCCATTAGGACTTGAGGTGGCAAGTCCTTTTCCGGGGTTACTTCCCTTCTTCTTTTAATGCCACTAGAACCAGCTTCAGAGTCACTGGACTTCTGTCGCACAATATGTCTGTCCATAGAGGCCTGTACCTCCCGTTCCTTTATGACTTTCCTAAAGTGGTTCACAACATTGTCAGTGTAATAGTCACCAGCACGGCTTGCAATAGCTGTGTTAGGGTGATTGTCATCCAAAAAGGTTTGCACTTTAAGCCACATTCCACACATTTCCTTAATCTTTGAAGTAGGCAACTTCTTCAATTTCTCTCTCCCCTCCTCCGAAGCAGTTTCCTCAGGTCTGGCCTTGTGCTGATGAAGATGATCTAGCAGCTCATCAGTGGTTAGTTCTTCATTGTCCTCCTCCACCAACTCTTCCACATCCTCCCCACTAACCTCCAACCCCAAGGACTTTCCCAATGCCACAATGGATTCCTTAACTGGCATAGGATTCCCAGGGTTAGCCTCAAACCCTTCAAAATCCCTTTGGTCTACACATTCTGGCCAGTTTCTTCCAAGCAGAGTTCAAGATCCTCTTAGTCACTCCCTCCCAAGCCTTACCTATAAGGTTTACACAATTAAGGATATTAAAGTGCTCTCTCCAAAACTCTCTTAGAGTCAATTGAGTTTCTGAGGTCACTACAATGCATCTTTCAAACAGAGCTTTTGTGTACAGTTTTTTTAAGTTTGCAATAACCTGCTGGTCCATGGGCTGCAGGAGAGGAGTGGTATTAGGAGGCAAAACTTCACCTTAATGAAGCTCATGTCCCCATAAAGTCGCTCTGCCACGTCTGTAGGATGACCAGGGGCATTGTCTAAAACCAGGGGACTTAAGGTCTAAAATTTTTTTTCGTTAGGTAATTTTTCACATTGGGGGCAAATGCTTGGTGTAACCAGTCATAGAAAAAGTCCCTAGTGACCCATGCCTTACTGTTTGCCCTCCACAGCACACACAAATTAGCCTTAAGGGTATTCTTTTGCCTGAACGCTCTGGGAGTTTCTGAGTGATACACTAATAAAGGCTTCACTTTGCAATCACCACTAGCATTGGAAAACATCAACAGAGTAAGCCTGTCTTTCATAGGCTTATGTCCTGGGAGTGCCTTTTCCTCCTGAGTAATGTAAGTCCTGCTTGGCATTTTCTTCCAAAACAGGCCTGTTTCATCACAATTAAACACTTGTTCAGGTTTCAGTCCTTCACTGTCTATGTACTCTTGAATTCCTGCACATATTTTTCAGCTGCTTTGTGGTCCGAACTGGCAGCCTCACCATGCCTTATCACACTATGTATGCCACTATGCTTCTTAAATCTCTCAAACCAACCTTTGCTGGCCTTAAATTTACTCACATCATCACTAGTTGCAGGCATTTTTTTAATTAAATCCTCATGCAACTTCCTAGCCTTTTCACTTATGATCACTTGAGAGATGCTATCTTCTGCTATCTGTTTTTCATTTA